AGCTTATTTCAATTCCTTTCCTGCTTTTACCTCAAATGAAGGCTCCATCCCATTTTTTTATTCTAAACAAATGACATACTAACTCTACCTGATCTACTTGGCACAAGAGTAATTCAAATATTGTTAATTCTTGCCAAGTTAAGGTTGACAATTCCCCCTCTGCAAATCTTGAGTACTTAGGAAGCACCTAAAAGTGACACTAGGCTATGTACCAACAACAGAGCATGTGCTTCTGACCTAGGAACCCTGAAATTACATGCACATGTTAATAGATGTGGCCCTCCTCTGGGTATGCATCAGTAGCTTTCATCAGGCTTTAAAGGAGGTCCTTGGCCTATAAAAAGATTAATAACCACCACAGTAGAGGGACTACAGTAATCAAATCATCCATTGAGATTCTAGGGCAGAATACTCAGTCTTCAGGTTTCCAACTGGCTGCTTGGCTCAGTGAGTCAGACAACCATACATTCAAGAAGAACTGAAAGTAAGAAACCTGGCTTTTCGAGGCTCCACTAGAAACGTGTCCTGCTAAAGCTGCTACATAAGAGCTCATGCAGCTCAGGTCTGGACATAATCCCCAAGTCACGCTGAACAAGACAACCCACAATATGAATCCTTGAACTATACAAGAAGACAGTTTGGTCTAACAGGAGCACTAGGATACAGAAAATCTGAATTTTAGCCATTAGAATGACTTCTGTTCTGTCATGTGGTAGCTGTATGACTTTGGGCAGCTTACTTCACTTCTCTAGTCTTCATTTTCCTCATCCAAATAGAAGGTTTGCACCAGATGAACTTTTCAAGGCACTTAAAACTACCATTTTATGAATCTCCCCTACTGAACAGGCATCCCCACTAAGCTCACCAGAACAGAAAATAACTTCACTCACTTCATAAAATCACAATGACTTAACATCATACAGTTCTCCCTTGTGGCTAACAGAAATATTTCTACTGCAACCATAGCTTGCTGCTTTTATCAAGAGAAGAATTAATATGTGGACAGCACTCTAGATCCAGTAGTTCGAATGCCTTCACATCAGTCTCCACTTCAAACCCAGTTTGCAATGATTATTAGCCATTAATTCTCAAGAGCTCCATTCTCCTTTCATGGCAGTTTATAAGAAAAGAAGTCAAAGGTATTAATAGGAGTCAAGGGAACTAGGAAGGGTCAATAGTCATGTGAGTGCTACTTCATCTGCTTTTGAATTTCCTTAAAGATGGCCTTAGGATCCCATTGACAAAATGGACCCCTGAAACTGGTATTCAAGTGTCTGCAAAGAAACATGACTCTAACCCAGACTGGACACAGGGCTGAAAATGAACCCTGTACCAGCTTGCTTCCAAGATATGGACCTTTTGAACTGTTTCTGAAAAATAATGAGTCTGAAGGCTAAAAGCAACTTTCCAACTGAACTTAATTCCCACTTCCAGAGTTCTCTGGACAGCAGAGTGTGCTCAGATTGATAGGCTTCTTCTGAAGGCTGCACTGATGATACCTTTGGACCAGGAAATTAAAGGCCACATTGAAATTTTCAGGATGTGAAAGAAAATAAGCCCAGAGAACTGAGTCACCCAAGGTTGAGTGAGGATAGGTCTTTGTAGTCAAAGCAGAGAACTGAGGCACTGTGCCCAATAACTCAGCAGAAAAACAGGATTTGGGCCCGAATTATCAGGATAATTGCCTTAATTCTTCACTTCCCTTTCATAATAACCTCAAGTTTATACAGTGCTTTTCTTTTAAGGAGCTCAAAATACTTACAGAGATATTATCTTAGTTGTCATCACACCATCACAGTCAGTGAGAGCAACGATTATCATCAGCCTCAATTTACAGATGGAGGAAGGAAGGAAAGCCTAGAGGGGTAAAGCAAGTCATCTAAGTTTACCCATCAAGATACTGACAGACTCCAAACTCAGTGGAGAATGCTCTTGCTCAGCATTGTTCAAAGAATGTTCCTCTCAACACCAGTCCAGCCAAATGCTCATTGGAACATCAGGCAAATTTATCTGAAAAATGCTGAATATTTCATTCTCCTGGAGAGTCACAATATACATTAGCCAGTAAAGCTTTAAGAAGCCCTGCAATAAACAAACCTGATTCTTTTTAAACAAGAATTTCCCAAACTTAACTTGACCACAAAAATCTCAGAATGTGTGCATATGTGTATGAGCTACTAACATTCTGTGGAACTAAAATCTTCTTTGGAACCCATATTGGGAAGCACTGGTCTAGACACTAGGCTGATTTGTGTATCAGCACAGTAGACAGATCAATTCCATCAAGTCCAAGCTGCAAGGGATGTTTCTCAGATATATTGCTTGATACTTTTTGGTACCAACAGCCGATGAACAAAGGACCTTGATGCATCAAAAAGACCCTAAACCATCAGCTGCTTTGCAGCAGTTCATTGGCCAGATTAGGAAGGAAGTTGATTCAAGAGCATCCACTTCTGCTAGCATTTCTTTCACATAGAATTCAGGGCTATTTTTGGTCTTCATTTAAGTGTGAAGGTGCTCAGGATGCTGCTCCACATTCTCAGACTCTTAATTTGCATAATTTTGTGCCCACCAGGAACTTCCAGTAGAAATCATCAATCTCTTAGTCTCACTTCCAGTACCAAGTATTAACACAACAAAACAGGAGACTCAGGATGTGCTCCTGTTCTGACTTTACTGCATACGTATTATAGGAGTCATTATATATCCATTTTTAAACTAATATATAGCACAGATATCTTGTGCTATTGTTAATTACCATTAACACTGCTAAAAGTACCTAAAATATAAAAGTCCCTGAAGATCCTGTCCTGGTTAATTTGTATTTTATATACAATTCAACTGGTAAAAGATCACAGCAGTGGATTTAAAATTTATTATTACTATTTTCATAATGTCTTTTAGTATTTATTAGATATCCACAGCATGAGAGGAAATGTGCACAATGAACTGGCAAGTTTTTGTGCAAAAAGTAAATGTAATGCAGCTAGACCTGTTTTTATTCATCCATTGACTATGTGAAAAATTCCATGTAAATTGATTTTTGGTAAAAAAAAAATACTGTAGAGGTCAGAGAGGCACTGTTATTTAAGATGATCTGATTATGAATCTTTTTGTAAGGCAACAAATTCTGCAATGTGAATACTGTCCATTTAGCTCATTTGCCTTGCAAATCCACATTTACATATATCAGACTTGCTTAAAGCAAAACACACTTATATTAATAAGTGAACCAGGTGTTTCTTAAAATGAGGATATGTTCTGATCCTTATCAATCTGCAATATTGGCTCCTTTTAGATTCAACATTACTCATCATATCCCAGTCCAGAGAGATTAATTCAGAGTTTATTGAGAATTTGATGGAACATTTCCAGGGACTACCTGCAGTCCTACTTGACTGTGACCTCTCTGTCTTCGAACATGCTATTCCTTCAACATAGCATACACTCTCCACTTAGCCACTTGGTAAATTAACTCTTCAACACTGAAATGTCACCTTCCTGGTGAAGCCTTTCTTGATCATAACCTCCTACTCCCAGTCAGTCACTCCTCTTCCATGCTCCCACAGTACCCTGCTCATCCCTTGTCACATTCTACTCTAATTGTCTGTTTACACACTCTATCTTGCCTACCAGACTGTGTACTCTCTGAGAGCTCGGATGATGTTTTATTCATTTCTATACTTCAAATAACTAACATCACTACCGACACATAGCAGGTGTGCAATAAATGTCAGTTGTTTGATTGATCACTATCTTTAACTGTACATTTTTTGACCCATAAAAACAATGCTTTATTAAAATGACAAATAAAAATGTCAAAGAGGTTTAGCAGATTTTTCACTTTTATTGATCTCTTCTTTCTTTGATTAAAAACAAAATGATCATACCAGTTCGAATTGTTCAAGAAGAAACAACAAAACCTCTAAACCAGTTTCACAACTAATGCATAGATATATTTAGTTTGTTCCTTTTCTCTACATACACAGCTACATCCTAGTACACTACTAACTTTGCTGCAGTAAGGAAGACATGAGGATCTACTAATTTAAGGGGTGGGGGGGGGTAGAGGCACTGCAGGGATCATTCTAAGAGCTTTGGATCCTCATTGGCTGAGAGAAGGAAACCTGCTAAGAAAGTTGGGCATCTCTGGGGGGACAGTAAGGATGTCCAGTAATGCTTGGTCAACCTGGCTCGAAATTCCACATCCAGCAAGTCCTAAGCAACAGTCTTAGCTGGGGGGATTTCCACCACCTTGAAACCATGATCACCCTTTCTATGTGGGCAGAACAGGTTGGACCTGATCTGCCTGCGTGTTGCTGCAGTCTGGCTTGGCATGGGATAAGACCCAAGGACATGTAATGCCAGGAGTAGCCCAGGCTCATGGCGCAGATACACACACACCACTCCAACTCACACTCACTGAATCCCACACAAAACCCGCACCATCTCCCCTCCCCGCACACACCACTGCATTCCTGTGTGCCCAGTCACACGCAGGGAGTGCCCCTCACATTCTATTACTTCCCTTGTCTGTCTGGCCCACACCCCACCTCGCCGGCAGAATGCAGCCTAGCCTGGAGCTGGAAGCTGGTGAAGACGGGTTTTTGTTGTATGTAACAAAGCCCCAAGCACCCAGGTGTCCCGCTGGATCAATTCCATCCATCTTTCCCCGCCCCCATCCCTGAGCTCCTAGAACAAGAGAAAGCTCAGCCCTGGGAAGTGGATGCGGGGAGTGGAGGCGCAAAGAAAGAGAGCTTTAGGGGTGGGCGGGGGCGTGAGTCCCAGCAGCTTCAGTGCTTTCTCGCCATGAACCAAAAGGGACGGCGGCCTGGGAAAGGGAACCAGCTGCCTTCCCACCCTCTCTCCCCCCAAGTAGTCATTGAAGGAGACTGAAAACTGAGAAATAATCTAACCTCCCGTCCGCCTCGTGCCTTCCCCGCGGCTCTGGGAACCGCAGGCGCTCCAGTAGCCCACAACAAAGCGCCCCCCGCACAGACCTGTTCCAGCGTCTTCGTGCCTGGGCGAAGGGGAGCTGCTCCCGAGGGTTCTGCCCTTCGAGGAGCCCGGCAGGAGGAGCCGGGGATGGGAGGAGGAGCAGGAACTGGGGGAGGAAGGAGGACGAGAGGGGATAGGAGATCACAGCAGCAGCGGCGGCGGTGGTGGTGGTAGGAGGAGGAAGAGGAGAAGGAGGAGGCGGGGGCAGCGGCTGAGGATGCTCTGGCGAGAGGCAGGGCTGGGTGCGCGGGGTGTGGGCTCACGTGCGCCCCGTGGCCTGGGGATGCGCGCGCCTCTGGGTGTGTGAGATCTTCTGGGTGTATTTTGACTAATTATTCCGATTCAGTCCTAGTCTGGAACTTGTGGTTCCTGCAGCCAGGCGGAAGTGAAACCCTCAAGTCCCCCAAGGCTTGTGGGCCAGGGGGATGCGAGTGGAGGAAGCAAGGGCAGAGAGAAGGTGTCCGCACCTTTTCCTCAATCATTATTCTGGGCACGAATATTTTACATCTGCACGTATCCCTGGAAAACCTATGACCTAGGAGAAAAGATACCAAGGACAGTCACCATCTCATTGTATTGAGTGAATGCTCAAGCTGCTGGGCGCGCTCTGGACTAGTCAGAAGATAATTTCTGTTCTAACTGGAATTAACTTTCACAAGTTAGAGTATTAACTTCAGATAGAATTTGATTTACATTCTACCCTTTCTCCAGTCTTTCATGCAATAAAACATCTCTGTGCTTATAACTAAGGTGGCATAAAATCAGTTCTTTACTTTTTAATCTGCTTACTTAGCCAGCATCATTCAAGTTCCTGGCTTCTCTTGGTGTCAAGGAATCATCTAATCCTCTTGCCATTTTCCCTGTAGGATGGAGTACTCGATTTAGATAAGAACTAAGACTAGGAACCAGCAGTTGATGTAATGGCTGTGTCGCTGGCCTCTCATGTAGTCGACCTCTGTTCGAATCCCAGACCCGGTGGCTTAAACTCACTCTGGACATGTGTGCGTGCGTGCCCAAGATCCCGAGAGGAGAATAGAGGACAAGGGATTGCAGTGTGGCCATCCCCCCCAGGGGGTAGTTTCTTGCTTTCTGTCTCTCTGTCTTTCTGGGGAGTGCAGGAGCCCTATAGGAGAAACCTCCTTAAATAAAAGCAAAACCTCCTTAAATAAAAGCAAACCTCCTTAAATAAAAGCAAGAGATTAGAGGGTTGAAGATCATAATGGAGCCAGGTAGAGACCCACTTTGGAGCTGTAATCATAAACCTATGAGACTCAATTGTGGGAGGTACAACACTCCCCCATAATTCAATTTTTAGTAAATCCCTTGTTTGCGTCCTGATGAAAGTCTCTGTTCCACCTTTTGAGCATTTGGATTCATCTTATCTAATAGTTTATGCTTTAGAGTGTTTTAAGACTTAGAAGGCACTTTCTAACAATAAGTTCCCTACCATAACATCTTTCTGAGTTAGGCAGAAAAGACATTTTTATTCCTATTTTACAGATAAGGAACTAAGGTTTACAAGTGTTGATTTGCCTGACATTACAAGCTAATAAGATCCAGAATTGGGGCACAGGTTTATGGAATTACAGGTCAAAGTTCTTTTTAAAAATGAAAACAAAATACACCTTGGAAAATATTTCCACATTCATCTATTGATCTCCATGTTGCAGGTAAATGGTTTAATGAAGAAACTCAAAATTGTTAACTAAAGTGTGAGATTTTGAAAATGTATTTTCAGTTAAATTGACACATTTAGGAGCAACCCATGAGTTAGTAAACAAAAAAGAGTTAGATATTTCCAGTCTCACTCCCCAATCAGCAGATATAATTATTCCTTTGATTCTGTGACCAGATACTGAAAGAATAATTTGAAATGAAGATGCAGAATGGATGATAGGAGAGGATTTCTTTGAAATTCCTGAGGTAAAAGCTTGTGAATGGTTTTCGTACAAGTTAGATCTGCCTCCACTAAGTTATGAGAATGAATCATTGTTTGCCACCAAGAGAGGAAACCTGTCTCCTACACACCAGCCTGGCAGTCTCAAGGGCGTAGATATCAAGCAGGCTAGTGCAGTGGGCAAAAGCTCAGGTTTGGAGCCAGACATCTATAGTTAGGAAACCTTTGAGAGTAACCCAGTATCAAAGATTCACCTGCAAAATGGGGGTAGAGGTATGAGGAAGAAATGAAGTGATGTAAGTGCTTGAGACACAACAAGACTCAATAAATGCTAAATGATATTATTAGAGAAAAGAAAAGCAATTACCTCGTTAATGAGTATTTCTCCATTAAAAGAAGGTATCTTTGGGACAAGGTGGCAGTTACGGTGATAAAACACAACACTCTTCAAGACAGACCCACAAGCAAAGGTTCCTGGTTCACATCTAGAGATCTCCCTGCATATGCCAACCACATGTGTGCCTGTGATCTGGGCTGGCAGAGGCTAGGGGTGCATCATGGCATCAAGACCCTGTCTGGAGAGCTATATCTCTCCCTCTGTCTCTCTGATTCATGGAATGAATAAATTACCTTTAAAAAAAAAAAGCACAAATCCTTTATTGCCAGTAATGTCTCAGCATTGAGGGAATGCCAAAGAAGAGATTGCTTTTCTTCAGGATAAGAGAGGGAAAGTGCTGGTGATAGGGCATAGACATAATAAACAGATAGAAATGAAGGATTCTCTGCAATACTGAGGGCTGGCATTTAACTGAGAAGAGAACAAGACCAGAAGAGGATGATTGAAAGAGGACACTTCGGATTGGTCAGTAGATTGTGACCCAGATTCTTGCCACACATAGTTACTGTGATTGATTGGGAGGATCTGCCTGTTAATAGCTTTGTAACAATGTACATGGTTTACTCAAAGGGGTATTTTGACTCTTCTAAACAGATTCCTCTTTATCAAAAGACCTACTGAATAACTCCATTCATAAAGCTATCAGAAATACCTGAATCTGATACTCAGCCAGGGACTCCTTGTTCTGATCTGGTACCAAATAGAGACCATTCTTGTTTGAATTCTGCCAAGGACAGAGAGATTGAGTCATAGCACTGCTCAGAGCCAAGCTGCAGAAAAATTGTGTGTGCGGGGGGGTGGGGGAGGGATTGTGTTTCTGACATCCTTTCGGTCTCTCTGTTTTGCACCCTTCCTTTTCCACTTCCAACCTCTGGACCTTAAAATACCTCCCTTTTCTCACCATGAAAAATAATCTGAGTACTTAATTTATATGAAGTGTGTCTACATGCTTCTTTTCTCAAAAGAAGACTAACAAGAACAATGAAATGGAATACTAATGATAAAAGTTCAGGCATTGTGGTTGGTAGAAATATCTAGTGTACCCTAAAATCATATTTGGTATGAGACTCTCCATGAATAAAACCAGATCCTGAGAATTCTAATTCATGACATAACACAAACCCAGAATAATAAAAGCCATTAATTATTATCTCCAGTCCAATCCCTTTGACAGGTAGTTAAACCAAGGATCATAAAGTTAGGTGACTTTCCCAAGAGCATAGAACTCCCAAGAGCCATGACCTGAATTCCAAACGCAGTGCTCTTTCCACTACACTGTGCTACTCCACAAACCAAGAAGAAAGTCAGTAGCAGTTTCTTAGAAACTGGTTTGAGGGGCCAGCAAATGGCACAGTGGCTATGTTGCTGGACTCTCACAAAGCTGACTGCAGTTCGAGTCCCGGACCTAGTGGCTTGAAACTCACACTGGGCACATGTGTGTGCATGCCCAAGATTCCAGGAGAATAGAAGAAGAAGGAATTGCGGCGTAGCCATCATCCCTGGGAGATTTCTCACTTTCCCTCTCACTGTCTCTCTGTCTCTGGCAAGCACAAGTGCCCTATGATAAAAACCTAAAAAAAAAAAAAAAAAAAAAAAAGG